ATTAATTACATGCCACATCATCTATTTTTTCTAGATAAGTGTGATGTTGACATCTATATGACTTCCACTGTTGCTAGTCTAAAATCACAAGGCCACACAATCCATCCATCCTCCGGCCACTCAGTATGTTTCCCTATTTTTCTGAGCTCCTGCTAAAGTATGGAAGCCATAGTTTCAGTAAGCCAGACTGCTTGTTGATGTGTGTATGTATTTGATGTGCTTGCCGCCACAGCTGAGCGTGTGTGTGCATTGTGCCGCTGCCGCTGCTTTGCATCGGCGTGTGTTTACTGGCCGCTGTTAGTGTTATGCGTCTGGGCTTTCTCCAAGCTTCAGTACATGCATGGTTGCACATGAACACGTATAAAGCTCAGATGCAGGTTGCATCTTAGTGGGGTATTTGGATACCCAAAACATGCACTATGATGTATATTGGTAGTAGTGAATCCGATGCATTGACTTCACACAAGTGCCTATATAACAACTTCTCCTCTGATTAGTAGTTCCTTTTCCTTTTCTATAATTTTTGTTTGGTGGCAGGATTGATCTCTCCTGCTGTTTGTTTCACACTTGGGGCAATCAAAGTGTGCCTGTGTTCGGGCGTCCCTTGCTGCTCAAATTCTTCGTTCTTTCTTTTAGGCCGGATGATGTGCTTTGTTTGGTTTGTGATCTGGGTCAGCACCTTTGTACATGTAAGCTTATAACTTTTTATGTGATATAATGTCAATATTTCCTTCCATCATGTATGTGATATGCCAAACAAACATATTAGAATAGTTATTTTAATGGTTGTTTATTATTTTTTAAATAAGAAAGAATTATGCAGTGTAATTACGTGCAGAGGCCAGCATGCAATCCCGCATGGAGGCCGGCAAGTGCAGGTTGCACATCCGTCTCATGCCCCTCATAGTCTGTAATTCTGAATATACATGTGTATTTAAATGCTACACATGTTCTCAAACTGGATCATATTTATGTGTTGATTTTAAAGTATCCTTCCAAATGTTGACTCATGACCCAGCAAATAAGAGTTCAAGCTATGCAAGACACAAAGAAGAGGTCAGTTTCTTCCAAGCAGATAAAGTTGCATATTTACCCTTTTAAGATCTGGGCACAATGTGTTTTCTCACAATTATATTCTTCATATCTTTACCATGTAGTATTACCAAGTATTGCTTCACAATCCCCCTATCTCTTTACCTATAAGTAATTGTTCCTAGCATGTATATCAGCTACCTATAAGCATAATTAGCAACCCACCTTTTTTCGTGCTTTCATCTAACAACTACTTAGTTCTATTAACATTTTACTCATTTGTGATAGGCACATACTACGAAGAACGGTTTTAAATTGGATAAATTCTGTTCAATAGTGCAAATTATATCCAGGTAAAGATAATTATGTCCATTTGATTAACACCATCATACTCTACGTGCAGCACCTAGGGGAAGCAAAAAGGAAATACAACTATATTTAGGCCTCTTTATAGTTATCCATCTGGTTCTAAATTTTGCTAAGATGGAAACTAATTTTACATTAATTAATAGTGGCACATATGAGTTGGTTTGCAATGAAGTGGGCAAGTAAATGTTCTTGCTGACTAAATATCTTTCATAAATATGTGTATGTAGATAATCTGTTCTTTATTTACTCTTCTGACAACGGGATAACAATTGTTTGGCACCAATTAATACTTTAGTTTTATAAACCATGGTATATCTAATAGTGTTTTTTGTAGTATTTTAAAAATAGGCCCTGATGTGTTTGACCTCCTTTTTCCGTAAACACCTACTATTTGTTAATAGTCCTGGTATATATAGCAATGTTTCTTATTTTTTTAGATGAAAGCCCCCCCCCCCCTTTCCCCCACAGTTTACATTAAAGCAACCAAAAGTATCTTACAACCATCCTCAACAACACAACCAGATAAGCTAGGCTAAAGCGTCAAAAAGGGAAATGTGGCTATAGTAATTCTGAGGACCTTGTATGGATAATAGATTTGACTCTCAATTGCACATGTGAGAAAAGGAAGTGTGAACTCTACGAACGTCTTGTAGAACTTGGTGGATATTGTCAGCGAGCCACTAGTCAAAGTTGCTTTGCAATGAGGGCGAGGATTTGGAAAATCTCGGCTGTCATGGGCCAACCGGTGTACGCCCGGATGGCGATGTCGTATGGTGGCAGCGGGGTGTACTCCTGGACGGGGGCGCTATCTGATGGCAGCAGGGTGTGACAACGTACAAGGAAAGGAAAAGTGGGACAGTGGAAAAAACCGAAATGGGAGTATTAAGAAAATAATGGTTGGGGGAGGCAGGTTATGTGTGTGTACGTGGGGGGCGGGGGATCAAACGGAATGGGAGTATTGCCATTTATAATTGGTTGAAGTGCAACCAATACTAACTGTTATTTGCTTGCAACAACGATCTATGTTATAGCTCTTCATATCCTTCTATATTCATCTTACTGTCAATTTGACTTGTTTTTTGAATAAATTATAATATAGGCAAGAATAAGGATTAGAACTGATGTGTCGTGGTGCCCACGACAAGTCTGGCCATGGATGCAAATTTTACCATGTGAAGTCACCTTTGTTTGTTGTACAGAGTATAACCACTAGATTGTGTGCTTGGGAGTGGTGGAGTAAATGAGTGAGGATGAAGTTCAAAGTTGTTTTAGCAGAGAAGCTCCTGCAATTTCAAACCTACTTTTTGCGGATGATTCCTTGATCCTTATGCGAGCGAATGCAAGGAACGCGAAAGGTCTGAGAACAGTTTTCGATTCCTATCGTGTCGCCTCGGGGCAAATGATGGGTGTTGAAAAATCCAGCATACTTTTTAGCCCGAATACAAAAGTGGAAGACAAGGTGCAAGTTTGTACTATTCTGTCTATTATGACGGAAGCACTTAATGACGAATACTTGGGTTTACCTGCCAATGTGGGGATGGACAAGAGCGATTGTTTTTAGTTCTTGATTGATAGAATTATCATGAAAATTAGTGGATGGAAAGAAAAATTGTTATCTGCTGGAGGAAAGGATTTTTTGCTGAAATCTGTTGTTCAAGCAATCCCAACTTATGCCATGTCTGCCTTTAAAATTCCTAATTTTTTTTGCAAAGGAATTATTGACGCGATATCACAATTTGGGTTGGGTGACGAGGACAATCAGAAAAGAATGCATTGGATGGCGTGGTGAAAGATGTGTGTCCCAAAAGTTCAAGGAGGAATGGGATTATGAGATTTATATTGTTTCAATCTGGCATTGTTAGCTAAACAAGCCTGGCGTCTCCTGGATAATCCTGACTTGCTATGTGCTAAAGTTTTAAGAGCCAAATATTTCCCGAAAGGTGACCTGATGAATACAAGCTTAAAAAAGGGTTCTTCCTTCACTTGGCCAAGCATTATGTCGGGTGTTGAATCTCTCAGAAATGGTTATATATGGAGGCTTGGAAATGGACAAAATATTGACATATTGAGAGATGCATGGATTCCAAATTGCGCGAATAGGAGGATTATTACTCCTAGATGTGGGAACATTCTGACGAAAGTCTCTAACCTAATTGATCCAGTCATGAACTTTTGGGATGAAGATTTGGTGACACAAACATTCTGGCCAATTGATGCTTCTAGAGTACTGGCGATCTTTCTCCCTATACAGAGTATGTCGGATTTCATTGCGTGGAGCTATACAAAAAACGATTTGTTTACCGTACGACCAGCTTATTTGGAGGAGTGGACTAAACAACACGGAAGAAAATTGGAATACACAAATGGTATGGGTAGAAGCAAGGTTAATCCTATTTGGAAGAAGATTTGGAATTTAGCTTGTCAAGCGAAGGTAAAAATCTTTATATGGCATACGCTTCATGGGACCCTACCGTGTCATGTTACGCTGGCTAATAGACACATGAAAGTTTCGCCCGTATGCCCAGCTTGTTCGAATGGGCCAGAAGATACCAAGCACATGTTATTTCTATGCTAGAAAGCAAAAGAAGTGTGGGATAAATTGGGAATGTTTGGAACAATTAGAAAAGCATGTGTTGTTGATCCTGCGGGAGAGTCGGTCTTTGAATCATTACTCCTTATGCCAGAATAAGAACTAGCTATTTTGGGTTTTCAGAATGCACGAGAGATGATTGCTATAACCGTGTGATATTTATGGTGGAATAGATGAAACTTGGTTCATGAGGGAAAGTCTCAAGAGGCGTACCAAACATCCATGGGGATTCGTGTTATAATGGCAAATTATGTTAATGTCCACTCACACAATGCTAAGAGAAAAAACAAAGGATGGAGCACACCTCCTAGGGGGTTTATTAAGCTGAATGTGGATGCTTCATTTGATCACGACCTGCTAAGGGGCACAGCGGGTGCTGTTCTTCGGGATGACAAAGGAAACTTCATTGTTGGTGGAAATTGGAAAATTGAATGGCGTGCCGATGTTTTAACAGCTGAAGCATTAGCACTTAGGTTTGGCTTATTACTGGCACAAAAGACGGGATGCAATTGTCTCATTATAAACTCTGACAATATGAAATTCATTGACGCAATGAAGAACGAAGGACCGTCTGCAGGAGCAGCGGCCGCAGATTTTGATGACTGCTACTTTATGGCTTGCGATTTTCCACTTACTAGTTTTGAACATTGTAATAGGAGGCGAATAAAGTAGCCCATGAGCTTGCTAGTTTAGCAAAATGTTCCGTGACAAGCGATTGGATAGAAGAACCTATGAAACAAATTGTTTCCCTTCTTATTAACGATGTAACCATTATTTTTAATTAAAAAGTTGATGATGTTTAAAAAAAAACTGAACTACAAGAACAGACAATGGGACGGAGGGAGTAGTTCACTACAAGCGCACATGTTTATATAATGATGTAGCTCTTTGATGAGTAATTAAACATTGCTTGTAGTTAAAAAATCCAAGATCTTTTGACACTAGGTAAAATAGAAATGCCTATGCTGTACAAACCAACAAAGCAACAAGAATTTCTACCCTTAATTAACTACCTAGCATCCACTGCAGTTTCTGTTAAGCTGATTCCTGTCTGTGTTTGAGACGATTCAGTGTCAGACGTGATCTTTCCAATGTTTACTCCAGGTTCGTTTGGCTCTGGCATTGTTGCATTCTCACTGCTCAGCAACATGACAACCGAGGACATCAGTGGCCTGCTCCTAGGATGCACTTGAACACACAGGAGAGCGACCTGTATGCACCTGAGCACCACATCGTAGTCAAAGGTGCCGCCCATTGCTTCATCCAGTAGCTCCACACCCCGACCTTCTTTCCACAACATCCATGCCTAAAAAATGATCAACATGATTGCATATTAGTAACATAAACAATCAAAGATCTATCACTTTTGACAATTAATCATGCTCGTACTTACATAACCAAGGAGGTTGAGATCAAGCTCGTCGTCGTAAAAGCCTCGATTCCTCTTGCCAGTGATGATCTCTATCACCAGGACACCGAAACTATAAATATCGGACTTCATAGAGAATACGCCGTCCATTGCATATTCTGGAGACATGTAGCCACTGAAAACCACCATCTCACAAGTCAGCTTGAAAGCGCATTTTCAAGTGTAGTATATGTAAACATTAATAGAGAGATGGTACTCACTATGTCCCAATGACCTTCATGGTATATTCAGTTGTCTGATCACCTCCAAACATTCTCGCGATGCCGAAGTCAGAAATCTTGGGGATCATATTTCTGTCTAATAACACATTGCTTGCCTTCATGTCCCTGTGGATGATCCTGACCCTGGAGTCTTCATGGAGATAAAGCAGACCCCTCGCAATCCCCATAATGATCTCAAAACGGTTCTTCCATACTAGTGACTTGCGCTTTTCTTCATCTGCAGCACAAATATATCAACTGCGGTAAGCACATTGCACATGTAATCCCAGCACAAGAAGTTAGAAGCTGTTTCTGCAAAGAAAATGAACTGACCAAATATGAATGTGTCTAGGCTGTTGTTGGGCATGAACTCATAGACAAGCATTCTCTCGTCGTCGTCGATGCAGCAGCCTAGCAGCTTCACAAGGTTCCTATGCTGAAGCTTTGCTATCAGTTTCACCTCGTTCTTGAATTCCCCAACACCCTGCACTGATTTCTTGGATAACCTCTTTACAGCTACTTCTTGCCCATCCTCAAGTTTTCCCTGCTCATGGAAATGCAGATCCATTCGGTTAAAATCTATAACAGTAAAAATAATAAGGTTCTCTATCTAGTGCCAACTGATTCTTAATTTCTTATATATACGTACCATATAGACGGAACCAAATCCCCCCTGCCCGATCTTACTATCAGGGTCGAAGTCATCCGTTGCAGTCAGAATCGCCTCTAGATCGAAGAACGGGAGGTCAAGATCTTTCTCGGAACCCATCCTATTCTCCTCCAGCCGTTGATTCCGTGCCGGGCTCGCCGCGGGGTGTTTCCTGTGCCTCAGCGGAAGCACGTCGCTGTGACTACTTGGCGCCGTTTTGGCCTGACGCTTCTTCCTCCAGAAACAGCAGCAGCCCAAAATCGCCCCCAGAAGAAGCACCCCGGAAGCAGCGGCGACGCCTGCGATCAGCAGCTTCCTGTTCGGGCGCTGGCGGCGAGCTGAAAATCAAAGCAGCGGTGAACGTCAGTCAGGTGACCCGGTCTAACACTGGCTGTTGTGTGAATTATGAACTTTTCCAGTCCAAGTACACCGTACTTGAGCTTAGTTTACCATATCTACACGACATTTTCTGTAGCCATGTCTCTTTCAGGTTGGGTGGTGATGCAATTTGGGTGTTAAGTGGCGTCTCTTGTGCGGGTTGCACGGCGCCTAATCCAGCGATTATCTTTTTAACTAAGTATGAGTAATCCGGCGAGTTTGGTGCTCTCAGTAGAATAAAAAAGTAACAGTGGGTATTACAAATTTGCAATTGTACCCAACGACCGACGGATGATAAGCTTGGACTAGTACGAGTCTCACGGAATAACAAATATCCATTGCGACTGTTTCATCGACTGGCCGAACTCTGACGACCTAACAGAAGAGCTGGATTCAAATTGAACACCGAATAGGTGAGGAAAGTGGTGCCAGTCCGTCCACGTGCACGGCCCATCCAGATTGTCGACCAAGCGAAATCGCCGTGCAAGAGAACACGGTTTGATAGCTATCAGATGGTTATGGGTGGTGAAGATACAGAGAACACATTGATGTTGGACCTCCACACTGTTGACAGGGGTGTTTGGACGCATATGCAACTAGACCGGCCAGCAAACTTTCTAGTGACGTGATGTGATGCTCGATCCTCTCAATGGACCCGCAATGGCCAGTGGGGGTTCCTTATTTCTAGCTAACATACATGGTCGAATTCTAACGCTAGCAAGCCAAATTTTGTCACAAATCGAGTTAGATGTAAGAAAATGAGAGTTTGACAGTGATGCAATCATAAAGCTAAATTCAACTGAAATGTAACTAAAATGTGCTCAGTATGGAGAAAGCTTGAGAAGATGATGAGAGGTCGAACCTGCGGCGATCAAGGCATCGACCTCGGACTGCGCGAGCCGGATGAAGACGTCCTGCACGACCGCCGGATACTGCCGCATGTCCATCAGATCGACGCCCCAGATGACGCACCCGCGGTTGATCCCGCCGCTGACGTTTGCGGCGGAGTAGGCCCTGCAGCTGCAGTCGGCCAGGCACGCCTGCCGGCACTGGTCCAGCGTCATGTCGGCGTGCACCGTCGCGTTGGTCGCCTCCGGCAGCTTCATCTGGCTCACGGGCCAGAACCCGTCCCCGGCGCCGCAGCTCAGGTTGGTCGTCCTGACGCACCCGCCGGTCCCGTCCCGGAGGTTCCACTGCTCCGTCGACCGCGGCTGGAAGCCCGGCAGGCAGGCGCAGAGCGGGGCCTGGGTGGTGTCGCAGTAGCCGAACGCCCCGCACTTGCCGTAGGTGTCGCAGGGGTCCGTCGGGTAGTACCAGAAGCTGCTCCACTGGCCGTTGGTCCAGACGTAGCGCTGCACCACCCCCGCCGTGCCGTCCATGAGGAACCGCGACCGCAGCTGCGGGTTGGTGATGGCGTAGCTGTAGTAGGTCTCGTCGGGGCTGTTCACCACCGTGAAGAGGAAATCCTGGGACCTGAGGTTGGGCACGCCGGTGAGCCCGGCGCCGTTGAACGGCCCGCTGGCGTAGATCTTCTTGGGGCCCTGGAAGAGGAAGAACTCCGGGAGCCCCCCGGGGACGAGCTTGAACGTGTACTGCCCCGGCGAGGGGTCGTTGGGGGTGTTCCACGACGTGAGGTTCCTGGTGAGGCGCCGCTTGAAGTCTATCCCGAGCTTCATGCCGGGGAGCAGCGTGTCCGTCGGGTAGTCGAAGCTCTGCCACGCCACGCTCTGGGGCGAGCCGCTCCCGTCCGAGCTCAGGAGGAAGTTGCCGTCGTCGCCGAGCCGGGCGACGGCGCCCGCGGTGATCCGGCGGGTGGGCGCCGGCGAGGACCAGACGGTGCTGTTCTGGCGGTCGAGGATGAGGAGCCGGCCGTCGGGGGCGAGCCGGAGGGCGCCGGGGGCGCTGACGAGCGGGTCGTTGCGGTTGGCGACCCACACAACGGTCCGGTCCGCGATGCCCGCGTACCGAATGCCGAGGTACGTCCGGCCGCCGGGCGGGCTGAAGAAGCCGAGCTCGAAGATCCCGCCCGCCGAGACGAGCGTCTGGTTGCCGGTGACGGACGCGCCCAGGCCGATGCTGTCGGTGGCGGCGACGACGGAGCCGGAGGAGAAGCAGCAGGCGGCGGCGACGAGGAGGAGGAGGAGGAGCCGGATCATCGGCGCACGTGTCGTGGTCATGCTCTCTCCCTCTCAGAGCATGGCCTTGCGAGCTCGCGCCGACGCCGACCCGCACCGCACGGTGGTGGGCTGGTGGCCGATCGTGCGGGGATGATTAGCAAAGCGAGCGGGTCGCGTGCCGCTCGCACTAATAATTCCTGGGGATCCGATCAGCGTGAGATGAATCGGTCGTGGACGCGAGCGCGCGCTCTTTGGAGCATGGCAAATGAGACCACTTGAGGATTTGATATCCGTTCCGTTCCCCTCGTTTACTGACCACCAAAACTCCAAAAGAGCAACTGGCATGGTGCCGGGGTCAACCTTGGCTGCCCGATTCGGGAACAGGCAGCTGGTCTTCACGCGAGCTGGTAGCGGTACACAGTCTCCGTCTCCACCAAACAGGCGGTACAGGAGCGCCACAACGAGCGAACTATCCTCCCTCGGGCTCGGCGGTTGGTGCGGGGTTGGACTAGGATCCCGGACCTTGGGGGCGGCGCACATGCGCTGCATTTTCCCGGGGCGCACACGGAGGGGAGGGGCGTCGTGACCTGCCAACGGACGGACGGGCGGCGGCCGGGCCACGGAAACGGTCCACGTTTTCCTTTTTCGAAGCTTAAATCGGTCCACGTTTAGCCGGCCGTCTGCACGACATTTTTGCTCGCGGCCCTCCATCTACATGGGGTTAGGCGGATCGGATGGAGCTTGCTTGTGAGTTGTGACTCGAAAATTGAAATGTCGTACCGATGAATACGGACAGGGATGCGTACGACGCGTGGCTGCTACGTTCATACTATGTGCTCGAGCTTCTGAGTTCTGACGGGCTGGCTTGCTGGGCCGTCTGCCCCCTGCAAGCGGGGGGAAGATCTGACTTTTGTTCACCGTCTGATTGTTGAATGGACTGCTGTGATCCACGACGATTATTATCTTGTAGCGTACCACAAGTCCGTAAGTCAATTCGGAGAGGAGTGACGGCATCTCCTCGTCAGTATCATGTAATGCGGGTAGTTTACTTTGGTTACGTGATGAATTAATTAAGATCAGTAACTAATTGTAGACGTACCGTGCGAGGCTGTGAAGTTGACTATCGAACCGGTTGACTTTTTTTACCCTCGGCGCGGTCGTGGTCAGTTTATGTTAGTATAAATCCCGTGGGTTGCATATATGCACATGGGATCGATCCCCTCTGTCATCCATATGGTTTGTATGGAAGAGAACAAGTGGACGTGGGAAGACTTTGTACACAAGGGTGCGGCGGCACCATTATATACAGACTATTGTAGAAATGTAGCTTTGCATTACAAATGTGTGTACGCAGGGCGACTAAGATGGTTTATATTTTGTACCCAACATGGGTCGCAAAATAATCTTTTGGACTAGACCATCACCTCGCTCAACATATGCATAGTGTCGGTTACTTGAGACTTTATTACTATTGCCGATGTGTCGGCTTTTTTATTTTCTTTTGTTAGGTAGTTCATGTTTTGGCCGTGTCCATTCAAGATATGGAGAAGACGGGTGTTGCTCATTATAATTGTGCTCGTTTGATGCTACATTTTCAATTAATAAAAGCGTCATTTATCAAATAAAATTTTCGTGAGAAATAGATAAGAGATGTGCAACATGGTATATGTGACGCCCTCGATTCAAGCGTACACTAATCATACACGCAAATGTGTACGATCAAGATCAAGGACTCTCACGGGAAGATATCACAATACAACTCTAGGCATAAACTAAAATAATACAAGCTTTATATTACAAATACACAAGAGTCAGTGGAAGCAACAATATCTTAGTACAGACATAAGTTGAACAAGTTTGCCTTAAGAAGGCTAGCACAAAAGCAACATCGATCGAAAAGGCAAGGCCTCCTGCCTGAGAGCCTCCTAACTACTCCTTGTCGTCGGCAGTCTTCACGTAGAAGTAGGCTCCGTTGGGGTAGTAGTAGTCGTCGGCGGTAGCATCTGGCTCCTGGGCTCCATCATCTGGTTGCAGCATCCGAGGAGAATGGAAAGAGTTGGAAAAAGGGAAGCAAAGCAACCGTGAGTACTCATCCAAAGTACTCGCAAGTAAGGATCTACACTACAAATGCATTGGTATCAAAGAAATGGGTAATAGCTGTGGACTAAACTCCAGAATGCCAGAATAGAGGGGAAAGCCTAGCCTATCGAAGACTAACATCTTCAAGTAGCTCCAAGCATCTTGCAGCATTTAGAAGAGTATAAAATAGCAGTTTATATTTAGCAAACATGTTGTAGCATTAACGCCCTGAAATCCTTTCTCGACTCCCTGCGAGAAAGCAATCCCGGAGCCATCATATCCATACCACATCTTAGTATCCAGTTCTAGTTGTAAAGATCGGAATACAACTCTGGGTCGTCCTGTTACCGTGGACACGGCTATTCGAATAGATTAACTTCCCTGTAGGGGTGCACCACATTACCCAATACGCTCGATCACTCTGGCTGGACACACTTTCCTAGGTCATGCCTGGCCTCGAAAGATCAACACGTCGCAACCCTATCTAGGCCAAACAGAGAGGTCAGCACGCCGATCTAAATCTTATGCGCGCAGGGGTCTTGGGCCCATCGCCCGTTGCACACCTGCATGTTGCGTGGGCGGCCAGTGAGCAGACCTAGCCCCTCTTATACAAGGGCATGCTTTCCAGTCCAACCCGGCGTTCGCTGCTCAGTCGCTGACGTCTAGAAGGCTCCGGCTGATACTAGGACGCCGAGTGCCCATATACTATTCCCGTGCGGTGGTTAGTGCGTATAGGCCAGTGTCCGACTCAGATCAAATACCCAATCTCGTTAGTGGCTTGGGAGCGCGCGGTAACGAGCAGAGACTCACGATATGTGACCCCATCGCCCCGTCTCGTAGACTTACGGCAAGGGCCCAGAATTCCCGGCCGTGCACGTAGAAATCTCGCGGGTACCCTCCAAGTCAACCCGAGTACACATCAACTCGCGGGTACCCCTCAGGGCTGACCCGACTTCAGTAACATGCTTTTGTGGTAAAGTCAAAGTAACAGTGTGTCCAAAACACCAAGGGGGAATTCGAGGAATCACCCTCGATAGAATCCACCTGATGTAATCGTCAAGGTGAACTAGGAGGAATCACCCTCGAGGTTCACACTTGAGGTGTTGCACGACGGAGTCATATTGGGAGTGGTGAAGGAGGAATCACCCTCGATAACCACGGCCGAATAGCTACACTACAGAGTTATCATCAGGAGTGCATTATGAGGTATCACCCTCGGCACTCGATAGTAGCTCTGCAGAGTCGTACAACTAAGGGGGTGTGATGTGATATGTCGAGCCCTGGACGTTGATCATGTAGATTGAGTCAATTGATAATCCAGCAAGGGCAACAAGGATAAGGTGAGGGGTCATTGATGGATCACTAACTAACCTATACTAACTAGTTTAGGATAAGCATGTAAGGTACAAGAGCAGGTTATAAAAGCAGGCTATGCATCAGAATAAGAGCAATCAAGTACAGTAGCAAAATCTAATGCAAGCATGAGAGAGAATGGAATGGGTGATATCAGAATGACCAATGGGGGTTTTCTTGCGTGGAAGCTCTGCTGAAAGGGAAGAACGGTCGTCGTCGACGCAGTCGATCACAGTGGCATCAACAGCGGGCTTGGGGTTTACCGGAGAGAAGAGGGGGAAGAAACAGTAAATACAAAGCTCACAGGTGCAGTACTAAGCATGACAAGACAAAAGCGGCGCTAGGGGTGTTCTAACGCAGGACTACACGTTGCAGACGGAGAGGGAAAACATCCGGAGGGGTTTTCCCGGCATTTGGCATTTTCCGGACAAACGAAAGAGAGGGAACGGTTCCATGTTCAGCATGCTAGGGGCATGTGACAGACAAACGGACCGCGTATTCGAATTCGTTGGATTATTCTGAGCAACTTTCATGTATAAAGTATTTTCATCTGACATACGATTTATCTTATATTAGTTTTCAAAGTTTAAATAATATTCTAAAATTATTCATTAATTCGAAAATAAAAGGGTAAATGCTAGGTACACCCAAAAGTATACCCGGACGGTGGGTCAATGGGGCTGACAGTGGGGCCACTGAGCTAAGTCAGCAGCCCAGTCAGTAGTCAACAGTTTGACTGTTGACTGGTCAAACCTGACCAGTAGGCCCCACTTGTTAGTGAGACAGCTAATAAGGCAGGTTTTATTTAAACCTAAACAATCTAATTAGCGAGTTGGGTCAGGCTGTCAGTGTCTAAAACTAATTAACTGAGTTTATTCTTAACCTAAACTAATTGGTTGCGGGGGGAGGGGCACATGTCAGTGAGTGTTAGGGTGGTTGTTAGAGGCTAAACCTGTGGGGTCCACCTGTTGGTTACCCACGCCGGAATTTAACGTGGCGGTGCACGCTGATGGTCTCCGGCGACCAACAGAAGCGGCGGCGGGGGGGCTCAGGTTTGAGCCCCAGGCCACGGTTCGGCGCGCGGCTTGGTGCTACGGCGAGCTGGGACCGAGGCGTGTTCGATGGAGGTAGCGGGAGGCTATGGGGAGGCCCGTGGCGACGGCGGTGACGAGTGACGCGGCGGCCGAAGTTCGGCCTTCGTCGGAATGACGATAGGGGGCACGATGAAGCGAGCGAGAGGGCTTTACAGGCCCCCGGGAGCGTGCTGAGCACAATGGGGGTGGTCGGCTACCAGCCCCGCGAGGCGTGGCCACGACGGCGAGCACCACCGCGGCGACGAGCTCGGGCATGACGTGGGAGGGAAGCTATGGCCAGGGGGAGAAGCAGGGGAGAGAGAGAGGAGGGTAGGGTGCTCACGGTCGCTGCAGAGAAGGCCTGGGGAGGACTCGAGGTGCTCGCGGCGGCGCGGATTCCGGCGATGGCGACAGCGGAGCAGAGGGAGGAAGACCGGCTCGATCCGGTTGCTCCGGCACGAGGGGCTCCAGCGACGGCTTGTATTCGATGTAGATGATGTCGGCGGAGCGAACGGACAGGGAGGCGCGGTGCGGGAACGAAGGTGGCCGCGGGAA